AAATATTAGTACAAAGCGGCACTGAATACATATACGCCACAAACGTCACTTCATTTGTGAATGAACTGTGATACTGCTCGGGTGCCCAAACCGAAACAGGTGGTTTTCTTAGAGGGCCACATCCGGAGCCTTCGACCTAAAGATCTGATTGACAAGGCAGTGGAGCAACATCAAGAGATGCAGTTCCATGGTAGTCGGTGAACAAAAACCGATTCATACATCATTTATTCCATCAGGATACTGAAGCTCAACTCTCTTAGATGGATCTTCTATATCCACCGGACCGATTAAAGAGTCGGATATTCTCTTTTCATCCTCTCAATTTCGTGGAAAAACAAACAAGTACATCGTATGTTGTATAGAATAATATATCACAATGGGAAAACAGAAACAACTACTACATTGTATAATCATCACATTGAAGTAAAAATGGAATTAAAACTTAAATTAAAATCATAATGTGTAAATCAATCTATTTTTAACCTTTCTTCCCATCATATCAATTCAACCCTCTGCAAGATGTTTGGTTTACTTTCCGTTGAACAACGTAATTCCACAGATTAGAATGGTGAAGAAGATTTGTAGCTCAGGTGGATGATTTTGATGAAGTTTTGTTCCCGAGGTGTACAGAACAAGCTATAAAACACATATGGAGAAATTCGAACACTTCACTTCTATTTGAAGTTTGTGCTGATGATGTCGTTCAGAAGAACGATGAAAGCTACACGACCAAACTATCCAGCTCAGAGAACGAAATTCCACCAAAAACAGATTAGAATTTCAGATCTTACCAATTCCAACAAACAATCTAATTAAGTTAAATTACATTCATACCAATCAAATGATAAATTAATGAAATTCATTGATTAACCAACTCAATCATTGTACTTTGAATTTAATTCAATTATACCCTCTGATCACTTGAATGTTGATTAAAAAAAGGGAGGGTAGCACTGATTAATTCTATCTTTGCAATAAGTGTTTTGTATGAATTAGACCAAACAACTAACTAACCTGACTTATTTAAGATTTCAGAGTAAAACAAATTCACAATACACAAGTTTGATATGATTCGTAAATTTCTTTTTCCTGTGCCCCTAAATGCTCTGGTACAGAAGAGAGTGGGGAGATACGGAAGATCTCTGAAGTAGAGTTGGGAAAACACTGATGGTGTACATGAGCCTTAGGATCCTGATGGAAAAATTGGCATATAAACTTGTCGTTGGTTACCGGCTACCATGTAACTGCATCTTCTGATGTTGCTCCACTGCCTTTTAAATTAGATCTTTAGATCGAAGGCTCAAGGTGTGCCTCTCTAAGAAATCTGCCTCTTTCAGTTTGGGCACCCGAACAGTCTCCCATCTCTGGTACATATCTGTTTGGTGCCTCCTTATAACAATGTTTAAGTAATAAATAAATGAAAATAGAAACGATAATAGATTAAAATCTAACGAAATCCTAAGCATTAAAATCATGAACTGATCAATATTAGATCAGAATTAAGAACTTGAAAGCACTGGATGGCCATTTCATCCTCAACAATGAGTACTCAAGATCCTGCACGCTGGAATCGAGGCCAAGACCTTTGGTCTCCGGTTTGAACGCTTAACCTTTAGACCACTGAGCGTTAACACCTGAACTAAGGTTAGGGAGTGAAGTAGTCGAACGCGTTGACAACTTCACTTATCTTGGAAGTCTGATCAGCCCTAATGGGTTGGTATCGGACGAAATCTCAGCACGGATTCGAAAAGCTCGTTTGGCTTTTGCCAACTTACGTCACCTGTGGCGAAGGCGAGATATCCGTCTATCAATAAAAGGACGAGTATACTGCGCGGCAGTCCGTTCTGTTTTACTTTACGGTAGCGAAACATGGCCATTAAGAGTAGAAGACACTCGCAAGCTGCTAGTATTTGACCACAGATGCCTTAGAAGTATTGCTGGCGTCTGCTGGGATAATCGGGTAAGTAATAGTGAGGTTAGACGCAGGGTATTAGGAAAGGATGGTAAATCAGTCGATGAGGTTATGAATCTTCATCGACTGAGATGGTTGGGCCACGTGTTACGTATGCCTGAACACCGATTACCACGACGTGCAATGCTATCCGGTGTAGGGGATGGTTGGAAGAAAGTTAGGGGCGGCCAAACCAAAACGTGGCATCAGTGCTTGAAGTCACTAACTTCTAGTCTGAGCCATGTTGGTAGATGCAGACTACTTGGTTGGGGTCCGCGTGACTATCGTAACCAATGGTTGGAGACTCATGGTGACATGGCTCAGAATCGATCACAATGGCGTAGGTGTATACACTCGGTTTCTTCCCTTATACTAAGAGATTAAAAGCGCTTCATATCTTTCTTTCTACTAACCAATTCTTTCTTCTTGTACTATATCTCTATATGCAATCTTTCTCTTATATATTACCACCTTTTACCTAACCACTGTTATGAATCCGGTGTTCATCTTGTTGTGCTGATGCGGTATGGCAACCTGGACCGATGCACATAAGTGCATGGTTCTACGTTGTAGCTGACTGACTGACTGACTAGACCACTGAGCCGTCATCCAACAGGCCCCCAAATGCCCTGGTACGGCCAAGAGTGGGGAGAGTCCGCTCTCCCTCTAGAAATGCTCTCACATGACCACGCGTATATAGACTCTGCCAGAGAAGTCCTACTCACTGCCTTCTCGTGGCGGGGGTGTTGTTTACGAAAATGAGAGGACCAAAAGCGAATGTCCAGCACTTTAACCGGATTCCAAACCAATGGTGCACATGGGCTTCGGTATCCTGCGGGAACAAATGGCGTATGAACCAATTGTTGATCACCGACTTTCATGGGACTGCATCTCTTTACGATGCTTACTGCCTTGTGGATCAGACTCTCAGATCAAAGGCTCGGGATGTGGCCCCCTAAGAAAACCACCTGCTTCGGTTTGGGCACCCGTGGAGTATCACAGCCCTCACACATATCGAATGAGATTTGTGTGGCGCATATGTATTAGGTGCCTCTTTGTACCAATATTTATGTGTTGAAATAAATAATCATCCAACATTGTGGATGTTTAACTCCAGCCAATTAACAACTAAAAAAATGCAATAGTAAACTGTAGGATGAATAACACATTTTTTTTCTTTCTTTACAAAACTATTCTACAATCAATGATCAATTCTGTTGTATAAGTTACAATAAACGTCAAAGTGTAATAAAACGGAAGAAACGTGCACATGTAATCTTTACTTGACAGTTAAATGAATCAATAAATTTTTAGTTGCCTTGGTTACAAAATTGAAATATTTTCTCATGATTAAAAAAGAAAATTAATTGAATATGACAATGCTTATTTTGTGTGGTTATTACTATTATAATATTCAAAAATGATTATAACACAATGTGTGTATGTGTATGCTTGTGTTGGGCGACGGAGGAGGACAGGGCTATCTATCTAAATGACGATAATATCGTCTCCAATGTTTATTTAATGTAGAAACTGTAAATATTCCCTTATCATTGTTGCTTCAGCATTGGTCTACCTCAACAGCTGAACTTAAGATAGGGAGTGAAGTAGTCGAACGCGTTGACAACTTCACTTGTCTTGAAAGTATGATCAGCCCTAATGGGTTGGTGTCAGATGAAATTCCAGCACGTATTCGAAAAGTTCGTTTGGCTTTCGCCGATCAATTATCATGGAATTCAGCCTGTAGATCTGCAAGCTTAGTGTCTACTGAATCTTTCATCTAATCCCAAAACACTAGTAAAATCTTCTCCTGGTTCTGATAGCAATTTGATGCCTCTATAGTCTACATACTTGCTCAGATGTTCTTTTCTTTGTGGTATCTTTCCATTCTGTCTGTGGCATATGCTCTTCCTTTCAAATCCTCTTGAATAGAATATGGTACATATTTGTAGTCATGTCTATGTGTAACTTCAATGCTTCAACTGATATATTGTCAGGTACTGTCTAATCAACTTCGTTTAATTTATTTTTCCTTTAAAATATCTTGTTTATGAATGATGAATGATTTATCATTTCTTTTATTGTTTTTTTTCCGTATTACTTATAGCTTTAATGCTAACTGATTGTAAAATCTTCTTAAAGTATAACTGATAAATAGACAAATACTTTAACATTCAATCACTGATTGCCTTAATTACTTGGTAATGTACAACTTTAATCTTCAAAACAAATACTCCCCCAACAATTACATTTCTTCATAGTATCTAATATCGATTCAAACGTAACATCATAGCTTATGCTCCATTGTAAGTAATAGGCTTCATAAAGTAACTAAGTAAATCAGTCATTAAGTAACTAAGTCAACGTAACATCAACCAAGTTCATCATCATGACTGAAGTTATTCATAATTCATCAATCAATGAAAAATCAAAACAATCAATATTCAATCGTATTAAATTGATTCAACGTTATTTTTCTAATTCAACTCTTCATTCTAAATCTATTGATAAACCATTAAAATCAATATTAACAACACAACATAAAACTTTCAATAATGATCTATTACCTTCTGAACAGATTACATCATCAAAATCTGATCATTATAAAAAGAATTGGACAATGAAACAATTTAAAAAACATATTAAAATTAACCATAACAACAAACATAAACATAAATCAACAACATTAACTATAATACCAACAAAAGAAATGATTATACCTTATTCTTCTTATTCACATAATCCATATATAAAACAATATCATACTTTGAAAGAAATTTCATCTAACAGAAATGAAATGATCAATATACAAACTTTTAAATCGATTGATGATATTTCATCATTACAATCGATTTCATTGAATTCATTAAGTTTAGATGATGATGATGATAACAATAATAATGATCAGAATAAATTTTATCAAAAAATAACTAATCTTGATGAAATAAATGATGAAAATATAACTGTTACAAAATTTGTTAATGATATTATAAAACAATCAGATTTAGATAAAAGTTGGTTAACTATTGATTATGATAATGATGATCTTCAACAACAACGAAAACAACAGCAACAACAACGAGATCAACACCAACAACGAGAACAACAGCAACAACGAGAACAACAGCAACAGCAACGAGAACAACAACAACGAGAACAACAGCAGCAGCAGCGAGAACAACAACAACGAGAGCAACACCAACAACGAGAACAACAGCGACAGCAACGAGAACAACAACAACGAGAACAACACCAACAACGAGAACAACATCAACAACAACGAGAACAACAACAACGTCAATTATCGATGTCTGATATCTATTCAATATTTACAAGTCATGATCAATTTAATGATTCATTGAAATACTTTACATCATTATCATCTAATATGTCAATTATAAAGAAAAAAGAAAAAAATTTTAATCTTATATCATCAGCATTATCAAAATGTAATAATAATAATAATAATGATAAAAATTTATTATTAAAACGTAATTTAAATAGATTGAAAAAATGTAAAACTTTATCAACTATGGAGATTGATTTGTTGCTATGTGAAAATAGTAAGTAAAGTGGATAAATTTTATCATAAATTTGTCTATATATTTATATATGAAGATTAGACTACTTTTTATTTCATATTTGCTGTTTATGTTCTGAACTGTAATTTATCAGTTTGTTTTAGCCCTGAAATAACCTGGTACGTCTGAGGGTGGGGAAAGTCAGCTATCTCTGTCTCTTTCTCGCTCTCTCGAAATGCTCTCAAATGGCCACGCATACACATCCACTAACACGGAAGTCATACTCATGGACTTCTCGCTGCATTACAGTTGTTTACGAAAACGTTCAGCGCTTTAACCGGGTTTGTGGACACGGATGGTCCGCCTATGTGAGTCGGAAAACCCTGATTCCAAACCAATGTTACCCATTGGCTCCCGGATCCTTAGGTAACAAATAGTGCATGAACATAGTGTTGGCCACCAGCCACCATGGGGCTGTATCTCCTAACGTTGCTACACTGACTTGTGTGTCAGACCATTAGGTCGAAGGCGCCACGTATCGCCTCCTAACAAAACCACCTGCTTTGGTTTGAGGACCCGGGCAGTACCACACATCACACTCATATGAAGTGACTTATGTGGGGTATATGTATTTGGTGCTTCTTTCTAAAAATATTATCTGTTCAAGTAGATAAATAAATAAAAGTTTGTTTTATGGAATATGTACATTCTGAGTGGATATATAGTGAACAGAACACGGGTTGGGACAATCAAGTTCTTACTTAAAACAAAATTACAGAGCTACTTCATAAAATAGAAAAACCATACTATAATACTTAATTTGCAAACTGTTCAGTAATTGTCTCGAACTTCTTTGTACTTGCATTTCCATACTAATTGCTTTTTATTCCCGCTCTTCCTCTCTTGATCTTCCACATCTTCTACAGCCAAATATTACATTCCTGACTCGCGTTATATACTACTTATATCAATATAAGTAGCATGCACCGCAGATACTCTTGATAATGAATTTAATTCATAATTACTTTTAAGTAAAATATGAAAGTAACTAGCAGATGTAAAACCAGATGACAAATACCAAGTAAAACGAAAAACACGTTTTAAATTCCATTGATAGTCACTATTATAATCAGTTTTACCCTACATTTGGATAATGGCTAACAAATGAATTTAAGGCGTATGGTTGAAACTTGTAAAGTGATTGTACTCACATCCCACTGTTGATAATCACACTCCGATTCGATTCAATCATTTAGCTTCAAATGCTGATAACTTAGATAGTTACAACCAAATCTGAAAATTATCCTTCCATATGGCTTCATTGAGTAACTAACTGTAATCACTTAAGATAAACAAAAGTAGTAAGCTTAGCAACACTAGAGAAAGAATACATTATTAGTATATCTTCATTAAGTTGTCCTTTACCTATTTCACCATTCTTTCAATCTTGTTGTTATTCCGATTGTTTTTCATTTTCTTTCTTCTTCTCTTTATTTCACTCATCTATTGATAAGCATTCCACTTCTAATACCTGCTACATACATCTGTCTGTATAAGTAGTTCACACCGTAATACTATCACAAGTTACATACAAATAGTTCTATTTTTCTTTAGGAAGGGAACAAGAACAAAGATTTGAACTAAATAACATAAATTTGTTCTTTTACATCTTATTGAGTTTTGTAGGTTATGACGAATTTCTATTGAGAAAGATATGAAAACAAACACCGATAACATAAGATTAGTAGTTGGATAATATAGTATGTAGTGCGATGTATGCTACTGATGTGGACAGATATAAGTAGTATGTATCATCAATCGAAAGTGAAATGCCCGAAAGCAGACGGTTAAGAAGATCAAAGAAATGAGAACATGAACAGACAATAATTGCTGTGGATAAGAAAGAACAATGAAGTCTGAGATGATTGATAGACATTGTGCCAACGTAGTATTTACTGTACGGCTCTCAGATTCTACTAAGTTATTCGATCATTTTGTGTTCAAATACGTTCGATTGTCATCACTTGTGTTCTGGTTCACTACAGTAGAATCAGTACATAGAAATTCAAGATTCAGTCACATGTAATGACATCCATATGCACCTCTACGCTCTCTTAAACACTTAGTTTTAATTATTCTACATATGTCGTCAATTCACACAGAATGCACACACCGAATGTGAATACACACACACACATGTGTTTGTCGTTCTTCGATTTACTAATCAATGTTATACATAATGATAAACGATAAGTTCGAAAAATGTTCTGTTTCTTTGCCTTTTTCTTCTTCTTCTTCTTCTTCTTGTTCTTCTTTGTTTTCAATTATTTCACTAAATTTATTCACATAACCTCAGTTCAATTTAACCATGAGTCAGTTTCTATAGTGAAACTGTTATGTCAACACATTGACTATGTTATTGTGAAAATAGTTAGCTGAATGCTAGTCAATATCATATATTATGAGTAGTAATGCCACTGTTGTATATTTACAACTGACTAGTTTTGATTAAACATAAATTTGCATTCATTCAATCTAATATAAATTATGTAAATGAAGTGAAAGTGTGTGTGTGTGTGTGTGTATTGTTCAATGATCATTTCATTGTTGACTAATTAACAATCAGTTAGTTGAATGAAGCGATCTCATTTCAATGAATCAATTGGTTGGTTAGTTCATTAATGAATCTCGTGAGGCGATATCGTGGATACGCACTGCTGTGGAGTCTCACGGCAGAAAGAATAAGCCGTCCAGTTCTTCCAGGTTTTCCATGGTGGTCTACTATTGAAATTACTATAGTATCCACAAAACCCCTTATGAAATTAATGAATAATTAGTTAACTACTTAAATAAACAATGGAATCAAGTAGAAAGTTACATAATTAATTTGTTATATATATATATATATATATATATATATATATATATATATATATATATATATATATATATATATATGCGTATATAAGTTACATAGATTTATTCTATTCGGAGTCAAGGTCAATATAGACAATAACAATAACAACATCAAGATGACGTTATAGACACCTTTCAATTGATCTAATAAACTAGTAAATAGATTAACTATTCTAAATAATGATCAGAAGGGGTTTTTGTTAGTGGAGATTGTAGTCATCTAATAGTAAAATTCATGAGTCAATTAAAACTAGACCACCATGGAAAACCTGGATGCACTGGACGGTAATTTCGTTTTAGTATTAAACTCCTTAGTAGTGAGCATCTACTTGGCACTCGTCAACAAGGTGTACCTGTAGTCTTGAGGAACCTGCTGCTCCCCGGTGGATTCGATCCCGTGTCACCCAGCTTCACAGTCAGAGACGTTAGCACTGAGCGCTCCGGGCCGCGACTGACCTCCTGTAGGACTGAGATGTAAGCACAATTGATTGATCACTGGGTGGTGATCAATGTCATGTGTGTTAGGTCCTGTCCAACCATCTCAATATATAGTGCAGGCAGTGTCGAGTCACCTAGACTAAATAAGGACTTGACACACATGACATTGATTACCACCCAGTGATCAATCAATTGTGATAAGAAGTGGTAATACTTGGTGAAGTTTGAACCATAGCTAATAAATAGCCTCTTTGCTTCTCAAATTTATAACCCATGAACACCTAAACGGAAAATACGGGGTATAGAACATGGAAGCTGTAATCCTATGTTAGATTATACGCAGAAAATCAAGGTATTAGTAGAGTTATAGGGAACCGTAACATTCAGACTAATAATAGTTAAGAAACTATGCACGTTATTCTTTGCAAGAATAGTTATCCTTGTAAGGTTTACGGAAACCTAGGACAATTTTGACAAGGTTGTTTACTCGATGTATGAAGACATTTTAACAAGTACTGAATTCCACCATGAAGTATGCAAGATAGTCACAATCTATGTTTTAAAACCTTAGGTAATATGGTATACTGATGATAAGAAGAAAATGTTTGCAAAACATTGTATTGCCTGAAAACATAACATAACGGTGACAAGGACGACTCATAAAATAAACTATGAAAAGTGGCTTTGATTTGATTACTCGTCGAACTACTCACAATAGGTGAACATAAATCCTATCTCAGTTGCAATACTGTCTTGAGAAATTGTATGCTTCGTTTGCATTTAATAAAAGTACTGAGTATCAGTAAGAGTCCTGGTGAATTCACTTTTTAACATTTTCCTACTACTATAAAAACATGCTATTGCGTTTGTTTGTATATACAGTATATTCTTTACTGATCAAACGTATTCATTTGTAATTGGTCACCTCACATGATCAGAATTCATTCATACATACCTTAAATCTATACTGTTTAAGAGAAATTTAGTCTTTTATTAGTGTTAGTTTCTATGGAGTCAACATTTTAGTGCTGAAGCTTTTATTGTTGCTGTAGATAGAAATGTCGGCACTTACTTCAAACGGCAAGTAACTATTAAGAAGTATTCTATTAATGATGGATCTATCATTTCGGGTAACTTAGTTTCTTATCACTATAGGGGTTGTGGAGATTATTCAGTTTTTGATTGTGATCACAGACCGATCGATCTTAGACCACTGTTGGAAACCTGGAAGGACTGGATTGCCGTTTCGTCCTACTGTGGGACTTCTCAGCAGCGCGCATCCATAATCCCGCATGCGGGATTAGAACCCAGGGCGTTCAGTCTCACGTGTGAACGCTTAACCTACTGGACCACTGAGGCGGCGTCCAATGGAGTTGGTGTCTAATATCAACCAATCCACAAAACTGTGTGACCATCTTTCATGGTCCATGGTTCATGATCTCAATCAAAAACTTAGTTTCTGACAGGTTCTCTTTTTCCTTATTCGTTTATTGTTCTGTTAAATCGACTTATTATGCAATAATTGATCTATATTTTTCAGACTGTTTCACTAATTAGATCTATTTCAATATGTGTATTGATCACAGGTGGATTTAAATGTCATATTTTTGTAAGATCCTATAGAATCTTAAGATTTTTCTCTATGGTGAATTTCGATAGTTTTATTTCCAATCAAATGTTGTCTGTTA